TATTAGAGGTAAAACTTGTGGAAGGGGAGCAAAAATCAGTTTATCTCGCTTAGCTGCTAGCTAGCACACTGCTAGCAGCAGCACAGCAGGATGCTCTTCCCTAAAGAGTTTGGTCCCTAAAAAGATGGTTCATGCAACAGGTTGGAAAGGAAAGGCACAGAGAGCTTTGCTGAAGATGAATCCATATCCTAAAGCGGTGCAAAACTGAGTGAAACCTATCTCAAAATCCTCAGTTCATGTGCTAGCCTCTAGACTGTATTTCCGTCCCAACAACTCTCCCCCCAAACCTACTACTTCATTCTACCCACAACAGTGTTTTAAATGTCTATGTTTGGCATTGCTATAATATATCCAATACTAAACCGGATTTATAAGAAACTCCTCTGTTTCTAACAGTAAAACTAAACACACAGCACAGGACATGAGTCATGTCCTTGTCACATCACTGGCACAACTTTGATGGGGGCATTCAGTTCCAGGACTGCTAGTGATGGAGGAGGGCAAAGCAATTAAAACACATACGAGTTTGTGAGTGCTGTGCTCACAGCTAGGAAGAGACTGGGGAGAATGAGACGAGCTATATTTGGGAAATGCCTATTACTAAGGCAAATTGGTGTCTTAATGTCTATCCAGGATCCTTGATACCAACACAGGTGACAGCCACAGAAAAGTCGAAACAACTGCGTTTTTGTTGTGTTTGTAGATGCCCCCTTTCACACTAAGGGGAGGCCAGTCTCTGGTGAGGTAAAGAGGCTATTTATTAGAGGCTATTAGGCCCAGCGTGGGACACTAACCCAAGGAGTATGGCCTGGAACAAGCTGTAAGTAGCAGGCTGGGACACCGTTGTTGCACACTCCACATCACATAGCACTGCTCATGAACTCTCTGCAGGCACCACTGGAAACCTCTGGGAGAGCAACAGCTGGACTTTAAGAAACTGCTCCTCTGCTCCACAGATGTGCCAGCAGGAGGAGACACTAAGCACTTTGAAGCCCCCAGAACTACCCTTGACATAATTTTGAGGGGATGGAGAGAGCCCAGAGTTGCTAACAGCAGCTGAATTGCAGATTGCCAAACACTGTTCAGCACTGGTTGTGCTCCACAGTTCATGCAAAACTTCAGTGAGCGAGATCTCCTACTTCCTTGCAACTTAACGTCTTGTCAGAGCCTCCTATACTGCATTAGCTCCACTCCTTCACCCAGGGAGAGAAGAGTAGCAACCTCCCTTGTCAGTGCAGGGGTGCCAGGGCTCAGGCACCCTGATGTCTGCTCAGCGAGATACATCACCCTCATGGGAGCAGGCATGCTGCACAGGGGCCCTGCATGGGTATTTGCACGTAAAGGCTCTACCCCCTATTACCCAGTGCTGGAGGAAACGGATGAAGTTTGCTACAGAAGGCTGTATGAGCACAATAATCATTACATACATGTGATCTTAAGCTCCAGGCACAGCCAAGGAGCATTTGAAAAGGGCCTGCATTCTAGGGCTAAAAGAGGAGATGCATATATTTGTGTTTTTTCCCTCCTTAGGGCTGTTAAACTAGAGTTAGAAACCTGCAGGTTTGCATTTGAAGAAGACTTCTCATTCTGCCTCTCCACAAATGCGTGTAATGGACAAGCTGCCCGATGAGCTCTCAGCAGGGCCCAGGCTCATCTGCCGGTTTTGTCAGAGGTGCAGAGACTTGCACACTTCCCTGTCATGAGATATAAATATAAGCAGTATTTTAATATGTAATGTGCCATTAGTCATTGTCAGCCTGTGCAATTTAAAACAATATTTATTCTATTGACATAAGTTATTTTGCACCTACTTGCTGAGAATTTGCTTTGCATGGATCCGTGTGCTTTAGCAATTGGGAGATTGATTATAGTTATTACTTTAATAGTTAGAAAAAATGAATTTTATAACAAATAGTGTGTTCAAGCTTCATGTTGACTCACTGCATGTGTTCATTCACAGTCGTTATAAGTCAAGCTGTGCATTTGGTGTGAAAGCATCTAGCTCAGCTCCGCCAGAGCCTCTAGGCAGAAAGGGCAAACCTGCCGCAGAGCAGTGCGTGTACCTCGCCTTCCACTCATCGCAGCAAAGGCAAAATAGACAGAAAACAAGAGTCAACTAACATGTGTCCTATCTAGAAGAAATCATTTTTCAGAGCTCTGTTAATACAACTGAACTATGAAATGAAACATGGTTTCAAATTTTAAAATGCAGTGATTCATTTTTAAAAAGATGAAACAAAGCACTTACCTTTTTATACTGCATTGTGAGCTAAAATGGATGGAATTTACATGAAAATATTTTGGAAACGCATGTATCTCCACTGCAGGCTTCATTAAGGAAAAGATTTGACCAAAGCTTTCCACCAGTTAATGTCTGCATCTCTCTGTGCCTCAAGTCTATATCTGCAACATTTGGGTAGTTTTTCTTTTCTCTGCCTTATCCACTTGGCTTCTGAAGTTTGCAGGGTTGGGACTGTCTCAACCTGCTTTGAACCTGTGTGTAGACAGGAAACCTTTGCCAGGAAACACTTTTTCATTACGCTTTTGGACATGGATCATGATGAAAAGCTATTCCCCTGCCTCAGAAGGCTGCTAACTTTCCCCCCCCAGCAGTGGAGGAGAAGTGAGTGGTAAGGCTTCACCCAGTGCAGGGAGCAAGTGATGGATTGGAGGATATAGAGTTTGTTAGCAGCCCCTTTGAGGGAGGATTTGCAGATCTGGATACTGAAAATAAACCAGCCAAATATTTACTGCATTCATGACGGACCTACTGAAGTCTGCAGAAATAACGCATTTAGCATCCTCGCTGGGGGCTCTACCGCGCTGCTCCGTTTCTCTCTCATCAATAATAGAGGATCTGCTCAGCCTCTGCTGCTCAGCTCAGACCCAGCAGAGTCAGTGAAGGCTTTTTCCAGCTTTTTGTTTCCATAGCCATTACAAAACACACAGCAGCACAGCCAAATCCCATTGCAGCCTGAACTCACCACTCGGAAATCCAATTCTCATGGAAATGAAATGGCTCACCTCAAGTCTCCAGGCCACTGTTTGCATGATGAAGAATAAACAACTCTGGATGGCTATGAAGGCACCGCTGACTCTGCTAGGTGTCCCTGCTTTTCTAAATGCTTTGCTGAGGATGTCTGCTTTATCTATACGCTGCATTCCCCACTTCTTATCAGTGTCAGCATGGTTACCATCCTGGCAGTCACTACTCAGGGACTGCAGTGAGCTCCAGGCTTATTTTCCTCTCTGTTCACATCAGTCATTCCTTCGTGTTCAAGTAGAATTTTTGCCCAGGACAGTTTTAGAAGCGAGCTGCCAGGGAACAGCAGGTTGAGCTGGCACAGACATGGCACGATGCTCCTGCTGAGTGGCAAGTGCTGGTGGACACTCATCTGCTGCTCACTGAGCAGCATGACCCACCACACCCCCAAACTCAATCTGCCTTACAGGATGGTACAAGGCACCAGCATCAGCAGCCTCCTCCTGCTCTCCTATTGGAGCTGCTTCTTGCTTTCCTCTGCATCAACAGAGTATTTGTGCTATTCTCACTTTTTTTTTTTTTTTTTTTTTTTTTTTTAAACACTCAGGTCTGTATCTGGGGAGGTAAAAGAAATTAGCATAGAGTTGGAGAAAGCAACAAAAGTCGTGCCAGACTCATTACTTCTTAAACCACATGAGCGGTGCCAAGTGGCTAATCCAGCCCAGCGGTATACTTGCTGCGACAAGCAAGCCCTGCATTGTTCTCTCTAAATGTCACCCAAATCTGTCAAAACAGGTCTAAATACAATTAAGGAGCATTGTATAGGAAGTGGATTGGGGCATTTGCATCCAGCTATTAACCTGAAGCATGCACTGCTGTGGCAGGACTCAAGGGTCCAAACATTGACCAAAATAGCAGTAATACAGAATGGTGCTGGATTTTGCTTTGTATTTGACTACTTTCCCTAGCTTGAAATTGTAGCTCATTACCCTAATTGCACGTTCTTGGGTCCTTCCATGGGGTGCATGGAGAGCAAAAAACAGCTTGCAGAACAAAAAGCACTGTTGAAACACAGTACACTTTAACTGCTACTCCCCATGGGGATGTGGCTGTTTCCTATGCATTTCTTCTGTTTAAACATCTAGAATACCTTTTGAGGATCTGTAATAAAACCAGGTGTTGGGAATAAGACAAGTCAGACATTCTTGCACACTTTAGAAAGCAACACGTATCCCTCAATTCTGGCTTCCTAAGCAGGGTCCCCGTCAGCTGCTGCAAGGACAATAACACCCTTGAGCTTCAAGCAGCCAAGAAGATTTGGGGATGCATGGAAAGCTGCATTGCCCGATGCTTCCCCATTCCTCAGCTCCTTGCAGCAGCCCTCTTGCACCTCTGCCAGCCTCTCCCAGCAGTGGGCTAGACTCTTTGCCAGCACTAATTCCTGCCTGGCACCTCTTTGCTGCAGCTCTGTGGGGCTGGGCTGCACACTGTGCAGGCTTCCGCAGTCCCCACGATGCAGCCTGCTCTCCACGCTGCCTTATCACAGGTTTTGCAGTTTAAAATCCCTCTCTGCCAAGCCTCTGCTGTCACTTTGATGTTGCAAGTTTACATTGTGTCCTTGTCATAGATAAAATGCTTTCTTCTGTTTCTTTCTCTTTCTCTCCCTCTTTCTTGTTCCCAGTTCCCTTTCTGCTCTGCTGCTTTGTCCTGTAATTGCTCTTCTGTCTCTAAGGAAAGGAAAATTCTTTCCGATTTCATCACCTTATTTTTCTCTGCATAAATGATAAATTCTTCTACTAATCCATCTGTTTTTCAACAGTGTGGCTGGGTACAGCATGAATATAACCACCTACATAAACTGCATGTCAAATTACAAATGTCCTCACAACCCATTCTCCGGGATACTTGCAGTACTAATACACCCGTTTGCATTACCTACACAGCCATCTCTGAGGTTAAGCCTTTGAGACCTTTTCCAGAGCAATCCCATCAGATGGAAACAGCTGTAAAATGCAGAAGCAGCTGCTAAGCAGGCCCTCCACTCCAGGATGAAAACTGCTTTCAAAGTCAGGATAATTTTCCTAGTGCTTTCCGAGAAGTGGGAGTTTTCTGAAAAAAAAAAAAAAAGAAGAAGAAGAAAAAAACAGTGCAGTGGGAGAGGAGGACTCACTCCTAGCTGCTACAGCACTACCTGTCAATCCAGGTTTCAGGTCCTGGCCCGGGGTCATCAGATATCTGAGGGATGGCAGGCAGCTGTCATCCTGTCCTTCAGTTTCCCTTTGCAGAAGGTTATTCAACATTTCTCCAGCAACAATCCAGTCACAGCAATTTCTGTAATAACAATATTTTTGCAGCAGGAATTGTATTACAATAGAATCACTGTTATTAGAGCTGTTATTATCCCACCATCATGAGCATGATAAAGCTGTGCTTATTACACAAGCAGTAAACTCAGGCTGTGGACAGTTTAGCATGAGAAACCAAAACTAAATCTGCCCTTTGGGGACTGGAATTCTCTCTCTCCTCTTCTTTTTCTTTTTTGCATTGCTGTTAACAAGCAGAAAGAAATCGCTATTGCTGATTGTCATCTCCTGACTGATACCAAAATCGTGCAGAGCTTCATCAAAGCATGTGGATGAGGGGAAGAATACAAACTAGGTGCTAAGAGCAGAGACCACTAGACTGTGTGGCAGGATATCCTGCCTCAGGGGAAATGGTCTAAGAACACGACAAGCGCAGAGCAAGACTTTTGCCACCTTCTCCCCTCCTTCTGTTGCTCATGTCCAGGTCGTATTTTCACGATAAACTCTTGAAGGGAGTTTTGAGGCATCACAAGTTGCTTCAGTCCTCTGATTTTTCTCAACTTGTCTAGGGGTTTCTTGCACCTGCACTGGCAGCCCGAGCAGGGGATCATGCAGCAGCTGCAATCCTTAGGCATGTGTTAGGGAGACTGTCAGGGCACAAAGCTGAAAGCCTGCCTCTGCCCCACTCCCCATCTCTCCCCTAGTTCCTTTATGCTCGTGCTCTAAAGGATACAGAAAGCTAAAACTAAAGCATGGTGTGAGGCAACACAGGGGGAATCAACAGCCTTTGCCCGAATCCCCACTTCAGTAGAAAGGAGGTCAGTGGAAGGCAGAATTTGAGGCTTTGCCTTGCCAGGAGCCTTCCTCACACAGAGGAAGACGCTTGGTTCCAGCACTGCTGCAGGGTTCAGCCAAGGACATGTGCTTTGTCCGTGCAGATTAGCTGCCTCCGGCGCCCACCCCCTGGGCCCACATCCAGCCCCAGCCCAGGGACAAACCACCAGCTGCAGCCAGCGCAAACACAGCCCTCCTCTCAGCCCAGGACCTGGCTGGGCCCTCGCCTGCGTCTCTGCCATGACTGCACACACTGTTATTAACACTGAGGCGGTTGCACCCTGCTACAGTCCTGGCCAGGGATGCAAAAGTTAGCTGGAACCCTCTGCTCAAATTCCCCTCAGCATTTTGGTTGCTCCCTACATTAACCCCTTCTTCACCATGTCTCATGGCTGAGGTACCTGACTGAAAATACAAGTCAAGCAAGCTTGCCACTTTGCATCACAGCCAGCTTGAAAAGAAGGTCTTCAGCCTCTAAGGATCCATTCTCTGCCTATCTTCTGAAAGGGAGTTCTGCAGATTGGTGGTCTGCAATAATTTCTGTGGTGAAAAGCGAAATGGCAGAAATGGTTTTGGCTCACTAAACACAATAGAGCTTAAAAAAACAGGCTATGCTCACACACTTTTAGGAAATCAGAGGAAAACTAGCAGATTTTCTGCTGCATCCAGTTGTAGTGCAAGGGGTATATTTATGGCCAGGTTATCCAGGCTATAGAAAACAAGCTATAGAAAACAAGAGAAAACCTGACAGTCCATTAAATCCAGAAGTGGTGTGGGGGGTGGGAGTGAAACTCCTAAATGCCTGCAGCACTAAGAGTAGGAGGTAAAGAGGTAATCACCAACCAGGGCTAACAGCATTTTTTTTTTTCCTTTTTTTTTTTTTTTTTTTTTTGCTTTATAAAAACAAAAATTGAGGGGAGAAGAGAAGCTGAATCTCCTTCCAATTGACATTTTATTATTTTATGTAGTACTGTGGATGGAGGTAACACTTAACAGACATATAAAGTGACAATCACCGCCATTAATAAATAACTAACATTGATAAGCTTTGACAGCTATCAGGATAGCAAAGGTCTACAAATTATCATTGCTTCTAACATTAGTTAACTTACATGCGAATAAATGGGCAGTGTACTTGGGCTTCAGAGTCAAATTTATTTCCTATTTCAGGCCTGTGCTGAATGGCAGCTCCATTTCTCATCCATTCGGTCTAATGTGTTGAACTTTCAGAAATAGTTTCCTCTTGGGACATCAGACCCAAACCACCCTCATCTCAGGAAAGGACCCACAGATGGTACCACACATTTTGCAAAGCAAATGGCCCCCAACAGCCATACCTTAGCCCTTGTTCAACAAGTTGGCTTGCCTATCACCAACCGTAGCTATCTTGCATTTTGCTGCAATAACACATGGCAATCAGAGCTTCCAGTCACAATTTTTCCTTCTGATAACAATAGATAAATAAAACACTATAATAATCATCTATTCGCTCAGATACTGCAGGAGTGAGTAGCAAAGAGAGTCTATAAACAAATCAATCTAGAGTTTTTTGTCTTTACAGCTTCTTAAGTGCCTTTACCTTCAAGATTAGTAACATGTGGTTTTGATTCAAATCCAGGCATCTGCTACCTTTTACTGATTTTTAATCAGCCTGGGCTGTGGAGAGAAGCAGAGCAGCCTCTCTGCAAAAACAAAGTTGCCGCATTTCCTTGTCATCTCCAGACAGTTTTTTGTTTGCATATGAGCACCCATTGTCAGGAATGACGTTTAGTGAGAGTTTTTTAAGTGCTCCTTGTTATTGACTTTCTCTGTCTTGAAGAGAAAATTTCTCAGATGCCAGAAATCTGCACCAGAGGCTGCCAAATTTGTCAGACCTAGCAGTTCCTCTTAACTCAAACTTTGGGGAAAAAATAGGTAAACTGATTTTTTTTTTTTTTTTTTTTTGGGGGGGGGGAGTTATTCTTTATTGCAGGTTAAATTTTACAGCTTAGGGTATTCTTCATTTTGGGCATGAAATGAATGGTAACTTTTTTAATGGACATTAGTGATTATCCATCTTCATTCATTCATTTCACAATTCCCCATCTCATTAAAATTGCTGATTTTTTCTTCTTTTTAGAAAGCATATCAACAAATTAGTTTACCCTCTAGCAGCCCTGGGCTGAATATTTTTAAGGAGAGAAGCTAAAAAGGTGGCACTGGTCCTCTCCCGTCTTTCCTCCCTGCAGAGGCAGGAAGCCACGGGCTTCCCAAGGAAGAGTCATGCTCACCACCTTTGTGATGAGTTTGTACCCTGGGCACCTGGATCACGCAGGGCTTCCTTGCCATCCTGCACTCTGCCATCACTCTGCACAGGTATATGTGCTTACCTCTCGCACTAAAGTGGTCACACTGAGCTGGCCAGCCTCATGCATTCACCTCTAAGGAGGTGGTTAAAATGAACTGGAAGGTTGTTTAAAAAAAAAAAAAACTAGAGCATGAGCTTAGCTGCTGGTGCTGTGCAAAGGTGGGAGATGCTAGGGAAAGGGAATTGTTAGTCTGATGAAAAGCTTGCTCAAAATCACACAGGGCTTTGCAGCAAGGAATTAATGTTTTGGAACACAACATTATTGGATTGATTTTAAATAGATGTTTCCCTTCGTTTTGGTAATAAAGCAAGTGGTGCTGAGAAAGCCAGGGGAGATGATCTAAGCCTTGCCTGCTTATTGCTTTGGAAGTATCTTTAAATATTTCTCTCCCACAGCCAGTGTTGGAATGTGAGTGGCAAATGACAGGCAGAAGAAAGCAGATGAATAACTATTTATGCATGAAGATGAAATGCATGGTAGTTATTTTGAGGACAAATGTATTTTGACAGGTATCTATTTTCATTCTGTTGATAAAATACACTTTGGCAAGTAAACTTTCTTGTGTTCTGGAGTTGAGCTTTTTTTTTTTTTAAATAAACTTTGCAATCTTTCTCTGGGGATGAAAAGAAATAAAGTTCATTTGTCAAACATCACAATACAATTTAATATCTTCACAGAAATGTTTCAAAGAATTTAAACATCCAGGAACTATTTATTCAGCACAAACTCTAAAATTAAAAGGGAACGATGGTGAGGTGAAAACGTAAGGAAAAAGATCAAACCATAACCTGCCACTGAGTGAGGACTCACAACTTTGCATCCAAAGCAAAAGCACACAAAAACAGGGCTTTCCCTGCTGCTGCCAGTGTCAAACCAAGAATCAGTTCTCAGTTCCATCTCTGACCTTATGCAGAGACTATCAGCATCACTCTTCCTTATCTGCTTTCCTTTGTGAGCTGAGGGAAACACTCCTCACATGCTAATATGTGGAGAAATACCCCACTGTTTTGACAGACCATGAACCATTTCCCAATTCTGATCTTAAAAAAAGAAAGAAAATGACCACAACTATCTACACATGCACAGGACCACACTTCAGACCTCACCTTTACTAATCAGTGAAAGCAGCAGATAGTCAAATAAAAAGGCTTCAGGCTTCTCTTGAAAGAAGGGAGGTAGAAGGACAGGATCATGATGATTTATGCTTTGTAACAGGCTACTGTAAGGCACTCTGATACCCAGCTAATGGTCTCCAGTAAAGCCCACTGGGCAGCACTGGGCACATTAGGCTACAAGCAGAGCCCCTGGGTGCTGCCAGGTCTGCAGCACCTGCAGAGAGGGAAAAGATCATTTCCAGGCTTGGAAGAAAATCCAAACTTTTGTATTGTGAGCAAATACCAACACGGTATTTGCTCACAAGAAAAAAGAAAAAAAATCTTGCTTCATTTCCAGAATGCTTGCTCTGAGCATTGAGCTAATCTGCGTTCACTGAATGGTGCAAATCTTATTCCTGTGGTATCAATAACTGATTATCTTGATCCCAGCAACACAAATGTCTCAGACTCCATTTCAATCTCTGCTTAATACATCTCTGCTGTGATTATTTCACTGATAATACATTGGAATTTCATGGCTTTTTAAGCAAGACAAGGCAGTGTGGATGGATTTACTGCCAGTGAAATACTGGCAAAGGAAAGTTCAATTTAGTGAGCAAGGCTGCAGGCTGCTGGTCTGGAACTGCATGGAAGACTGATCACCTAGGAAACAATTTTTACTCAAAGTTAATAAAAAGTTATGGTTGCAATAAAAGTTAATGACTAAATATCATCTGCAATAAAAAAAAATG